ACCACCTCTTAATTGCTGGTGTTCACAGATTGTTATGGGAACTTACCCATAATAATAATGGACTATTCCTGACATTATAAATACTGCGCCTCTCAAGAGATATCAGGAGATTGTAAGACGAGGAGAGATAATTGAGAGCATATTTTAAGGACATTGGAATAGTGATACTTGTTGAGACAACATTGTTCACTCTAACCAAATCTGATAGTCATTACTAATACTTCTACTTCTTTGTATTATATTTCTGTTCTAATATATCATTGTATTCCATACCTATGTTCTTGATGATCTTTCATTGGTTCTATCCTTGGACCATCACCGTGGTACAAGGAACTTGGACCATAACACAAGATCTACCCTGACCCGGGGTGGTAGCACCAGTCAGGGTCCCAGCTATTGGCAAATAGTTAACCCCTAAACTGTAGTAAAGACAATATGAATTTGAAAAAATAGGTTTTCATACAAGCAATACATTTTTGTAAGAAAATATTGCCAGCAATGAATTTTTGAAGAAAAAATATTACCAGCAGTACTTTTTTCAGAAAAATATTACCAGAAATATATTTCTGGAAAAAATATTACCAACAATATATTTCTGGAAAAAATATTACCAAAAATACTTGCATTAATGTGAAAGGATCAAGAAGAGAATTATTATCTCCGCTCGAAAAGCTGAAACGTTACAAAAAGCTTTTTAATACCGGATATAATGCGACCCCTGAATTTTTTACTGTGAAAACCTGATTTTCTTCATATAGCTTGTGTATAATACCAATATTTAATTTACTACATAGGATTATATATATATATATATATATATATATATATATATATATATATATATATATTGTGCTCTTGTGCAAATTAACTGAAACAAAACGTTATTATTTACATGACCCAGTTCACATGTTAGTAGTCGTTCCTTGCAGATTGACCGCAGATTTTTGATTGGATTTTAGTCAGGAGAGTTTCCGGACCAGTCTAGTACATTGATTTGATCACTGGTAAGGTTGCCAGTGTGTTCATGCAGCGTTACAAATTTTCGTACGTTACCTTGGAGTAACCTTTCTTCCTTCGTTCATTTATAATGTTATTAAACTTATTAGACGTTATGAAAAATAAATACACAACACTTGTCTATATTACTTAATGAAACGTGTATGAATGAAAAGATGCTGCCTAAATACACACAATATATATATATATATATATATATATATATATATATATATATATATATATATATATATATATATATATACGAGGATTTGAGTTATATTCATTATTCTTATTTATTTTACAGATTAAATGTTTCTTTTGAATTATTAATATTTCTTTAATTTTTCGAAAGGAAATTTATTCCACAACGAAGACACGTTTACAGCAGTTATTTTGTTTCAATTCACATCAGGTTTCGTGACAAGTATCTTAACTTATAGTAACAGAGTTATGTTTAGAGCAAGTTAACCCTATATAGACCACACTTCTTCGTTTTTATAGTAAAGTTCAGCCTATACGACCCCAGAGACAAATAAATGCCTGTGGCATGAATGAAATCACTCCGTGCTGTCACAACTAACCTAATAACGATAAGATGAGAACCATGGGATAATAGTGAAATTTGTTTAGCGTAGGATGCCGTACAGGCAACAATACTCTCCCTCCTCAGGTCTAGTCCCTGTGTGTCTGACGTAAATATCATACGAACACCGGGCAGTACAGTCGTAGAGAACATTTGAACACTACAATGAGACATGATATACTGACCATTCTTATTGGAAACAATATCAGTCAACCATCTACAGAAATTCTGGTCGGCTTGGAACGGACCTCTTGTGAATAAAATTTTATATAATGAGATTTGTACAGACATTTTCCGGTTTAAATAGTGTGTAAATGCCTACTGTTTTAGTACTCGTCTCCAAACTGTGCAGGATTGCTCGGGCCTTGCAAGTTGTCAGCACTTCTAGGCCAGGTTCTTTAAGACAGAAGCCTTCTTTGTTAATCTTACAAGAAGGATCATCCGGGCGTTTATTGGTAATCTTAATGCGTCTCGCTTGATTTTAAGTGGGTGTTTTCGATTGGAGCCTTTCTTTTTGTCTGCACGCTTGCGTTGATATTCAGATTCATCTTTGGGTTCGGCAACAGTAAAACTCTTTCTTATCAAGCTGAGGTAGATAGGACGACGTGGAGCAATAAGTGGCCTTCACGATTATCAGTCCTAAAATCACTAGACGTTTTCTTCCGATTTGTACTGAAAGATCTTGTTTACAGACTTAAACCAAAAACAATTGTCCTCGTTATAACTTTAAACTACATCCGTTTCCTGGGTAAGACGATAAACTACACCTGACAGTAAGGCCTTTGATCAGGAGGTCTTGAGGAGCGTGGAACCACGTCTTAATTGCTGGTGTTCCCAGGTCCACCCTGACCCGCGATGGTAGCACCTGTTGAGGTCCCAGCTATGGGCAAATAGTTAACCCCCAAACTGGGGTCAAAACGTGTAAAAATAGGTTTTAATACCAGCAAAACATTTTTGTAAAATTATTACCAGCAATACATTATTACCAGCAATATAGTTTTGGAAAAAATATTACCAAAATACTTTTTGAAAAAAATATTTCCACCAATATATGTCTCGTCGGAATTAAATAACCCACTGAGATGTTGATATACCGCAAAACAAAACAAACCAAACCAAAACATACTGAGATAGATAGATAGATAGATAGATAGATAGATAGATAGATAGATAGATAGATAAAAAAATATTACCAGCAATAAAAATCTTGTCGGCATTAAATAACCCATTGAGGTTGATATGCCGTAAAACAAACCAAAAACAATTCCTGAATTAAAACAAACATGACAAATTCTTTAAAAATTAATGTCGAAATGTATCAAATGCCTTGTGGCTGATAGGGCGTTGTATTGAACAAGAAGGGAAGCATTTTGAACATATTAAATAACTTGTTAATCATAACAAATTATGTTCCTTTGATGTAACGATACTTAAGTGGCTGAATGGTTAAAGCGTTCTCTTTCCGACCATGAGACGTGTGTTCAAATATCACTTTTGTTGATTTGCCAGGAAAGTGACTTATTTGAGCTTATTAACCAAGGAGGAGAGATCAGTGTGCAGTACCGTAGAAAGTGCCTGAAAATTTTATATTTTCTTGTATACGTGGCAGGGCAGTCCCAATTGTAAAGGTTAGGGGTGGTGCGGCCAAGGAATGTAACTCGTCAGAACACGTACCATGGAAATAGCGAGAGACTTGCGACGTTTCGTCTGTGGAAAAGGGCTTGTATGGTGGATAATAATTACTCATCTACAAGGCGTCATAAAGTTTTTTGAACTCTGTAAAGACAGGCAAGAGAGGACTCTGAAGCCCAGATATGGCAGTAATACCCCATTTCTAGTTTGATATGTCTCTTGGAAAGATAGAATATAACATGGCAGTTAGATAATTCCTGGTGGGTGAAATTAACCCTTTCTCCAGAATATCTGGCAATAGATCGTATATCGGCCTGGGAAGAACTTGAATTTCAGTAGACGTTTAAGCGCCTCCTTAAGAAAAGACTAATCCATTATGATTGACGAAAGTTTGGGGCCTGCTCGCTGACGGATTACTAGTTTGATTTGGGATGTATTGAATTTTTACATGCGTGTTATTTCCCAATTGAGATATATAGGCTAGGCTAGGGAAGAGATCAACTGCTAGGTTCTAGTCACGAGAACGAGGTGTCTTGGCTGTGTTCGGAAACTAATAAAAAATTCCGCTAATAATGTAATCAATTGCCTCTCACATAAAGTATTCGAAACTAAACATAAAGAAGCTAACAATATATTTTATGACGAAAATTAGCCTTCATTGAAAATGGCTAAATTATTAAGTGAAAGAGCTCCGGACAGTAACAAAGCTAAATTGGAAAGAAAGAGATAAAGAAGGTTATATATTAACGTCCTCACTGTGCGTTGATATAATTATACAGGATTTATAAGACTCCATCTTGGATTGAGCACAAGCTAATCTTATTGGCATTACGATTCTGTCAATATGGTTCTTCATGTAAGAATTATATCCTGTAGACCATGGGAATGTTTGTACTTCCGGTACAGCCTGCAAACAGAATTTGCCCGCTTTGAATGAACCGGATAAACAGACGATATAAGTTTGAAACATAATGCTTGCGAATAACGTCTGTTTAAGCAAACAGCGATTGCAACCAAGTCGTATCATCAGTTAGCAGAAGGTTGGCAGCCATTGTCTAGATCCACTTTTTTGGCGGGTTTCTTTACTTGCATAATTTGTTATCAGTTCGAATATGGCGATTGTTTAGTGAGGGGAAATTTCTGTAAGATAAAATATAAATGAGATTGAGACTAATAAAGAAGGAAAAAAAACAAGAGAGAAGAAGAAGAAGAAAAAATAGAAGAAAGAAGAGAGGGAATGAAGAACGAACAAAGGCGTAGCTGGTTTATAGCAACTACGCAGTAACACGGGGTAAAATGGAAGGAAGAAAGGAGAAAAGAGGAGAAGAGATGAGAAAAATAAATTAAAAGAGAAAATAAAAGAAGGGAAAAAAGAAATGAAAGGAGGAGAAAAAAGAAGGCGAGAAAAAAAAGGGAATGGAAAAATAATGGTCGGGAAATGTAAAGGGAAAAAAGAAAGAAAAAAGTGAAATAAAAAAAAAGAGAGGAAAAAGAAAAGGAAAGAAATTTGAATGAAAGAAAGACAGAAAAAAAAAACAAAGAAAGAGACAAAAAAAAGTGAAAGCAAATGTAATATAGCAACAACTAGAAGCTTTATTTGACCAATTCAGTTTTAGTGCTGAAAAACGTTCATTATATAGTGATGGATGATGACAAGCGAGAGGGGAGATGGGGTGTGTTTATATTATTACTACAATAAATAAAGAAAGAAAGAGATAAAAAGAAATAGCAAACAGAAAACAAAAGAGATCACGATTAATTCAAAAGAAAGAAAAAGATAAAGGAATCATATTAAGAAAGAAAGGGGGAGAGAGAAAAGGAAAGAAAGAGACAAGAAGCTAAGGTAAATCAAAAAGAAAGACACAGACAAAAACGAAACGAAATAAGAAAGAAAGAAATAGAGAGAAAGAGACAAAAAAAAACAAAACAGAAGTAAATAAAAAAGAAAGAAGTAAAGAAAATAGAGAAAAGACAAACGAATGAAGATATCAAAGAAAACAGGAGATAAAAGTGACCACCCAAATAAAAGAAGAAAGAAAAAGGTAAAAGAAACAACGTAAATAGGAAAGAAAGAAAGAAAAAAAAAGAAAGAAAGAAAGCCTGAAGCCTGAGATGGAATGATAGAAAGGAACGAAGAGAAAAAAATAGAGAAAATATAGAAATGAGAGAAAAGAGAAAAGAGAGCCCAAGAGGGAAACAGAGAATGAGAAGAGAGAGTGTGTGGTGAAAGAGAAGAAATTAGACTGATTAAATGTAAACAAGAAAACGTGACAGAAGGAATCAAAAAGCGAAAAATACAAAAACAACAATAAGATGTAGAATTTATTGCGTGAATTGTAGTAAAGGATAGAGAGAAGGTAAAGGGAGAGAGTGATACATATATATATATATATATGTATATACATTCACATATATATATATGCGTCTGTATATATATATATATATATATATATATATATATATATATATATATATATATATATATATATAAGTATAAGTGCAGGTATGCAGAAAGTAGAAAAGAACACGTTGGGTGCATAATCCGGAGTTCCTTAGTATTTTTGTTTTTATTTTTGAGAAGACAGTGCTCCATACAGAAGTAGAGCTGTATTATAATAATATTTTTTGTTTAAAAATATGATTCCTTCGCTACATAAGAGTTCTCCTGTTTCAAAAACGAGAGCGGAAACCATCCAAAAAATTATTAAAATTAAGTTGAATTGTGGTGTTTAGTCCCGTTTAATCTTCAAGCGAAAGTTTACCACAATTCAACTTAATTTTAATAATTATCTGGATGGTTTCGGCTCTCGTTTTTGAAACATGAGAACTGTTATGTAGCGAAGGAATCATATTTTTAAACAAAAAATATTATATATGTGTGTGTGTGCGTGTGGCTGGTCATCTCCCGTATCTGCGGATACCCGTCTACTAGGGCAGCTAGACAATCTCTTTTGAAGAAGCCTGATTTTAAAGACTGTTTTTCTGGTCTGAGGTGTTAGGTCCTTTGGGAAGTCATCTGTTGGTCAATTAAAAACATTTCCTTTTTCTTTAGTATATACGGACACATATATATATATATTGTCATCCACAGAGAGAGACTGTTTCGCTGTCTCACAACTCATCAGTGTGGCTAGACGTCCTAGCAAGGATCGAAACCCGACTGAATTGGCGTCAGTTGGGGATTCTACCACTAAGCTGTTGGCGTATGGTAGGGGTGAAGGTGAATTTAAGCGTATTTATTTTTAGATAAACACACAGTGCCTGAGAGAACTTGATTCGATTTACTGAAGAGTCTTGCATTATTAGCAGCAATAGTCACTGTTTACAGCCCCCCTGCACACACACACACACACACACACACACACACACACACACACACACACACACACACATATATATATATATATATATATGAAGTTGACAATAAATCAAACAATCCAACAGTGTGTGTGTGAGCATACATATGCTTTAAACACTATCACACACGCATTCAGGTATCAATGAATACAAACATCTCATATTTATCAGAAAAAAAATGAAAACTTTGGCATCTATCTTTCGCAGTCTGTTCATTATCTATGTATCCATCTAGCTAATATATATATATAAGAAGAAGAAAAGAAGAATTTGAAGAAGAAAATGAAGACGAAGAAGGTATCAAAGATAAAAAAATGGGGAATTAAAGAAAAAGAGATAAAAGAAAAAAATGATGGAGATGATGAAAAGGAGGAAAAGAAGAAAGAAGGAATATATATATATATATATATATATATATATATATATATATATATATATATATATATATATCAGTAAAACTGAGGATGTATGATACCAAACCTGAGATGTGAGGAAGAAGAGAAAGAAAATATCAAACAACAAAAACAAAAAGAATTTTTAAAAGAGTATGAACAGTTTTTCATCATAGAACAATGATTAGTAATCTCTCGCTATAGTCGATTACAAGAGTAGTGAGTTTGATCCACACTGAGGGTCTCGTAATTGTTACGTTGTTCTACCCATATGAAATACTACAATAACAAAGTTTGAAACGAAAGCAAAGAGCATAAAAAAGCCGATAGCAAAGTAAAAAAAAGTATTTTAAAAGAGAAGGCGGGGGAATATTACGAGGGACGGGTTGAGGAGAGGGTTGGATAAAAAGACAAGGGGGGATGTGAAGAGAAAATGATAGGAAAGAAACGGAACTGCAGGAAAAGGAAGGAGAAAAACAAAGATGAAGAGGGAAAGAGAAAATAGAACGGAAGAAGAGATGAGAGGAGAATAGGAAGAAAAAAGGAGACAAGAAAGAGAGAAGAAGATATAATCAAATAGAAAGATAGTTTGGTTTGCTTGTTCAAAGGTATATCAACATCATTTGAGTCATTTAATACCGAAAATTAATTTTCTAGAGAGCTTTGAATTTTTTTTATTATTAAAAGTATTGCTGAAAATTTGTTTACTATTAAAACCTATTGCTAGAAATTTTTTAATCTTAAAATCTATTGCTAGAAATTTTTTTACTCTTAAAATCTATTGCTGGAAATGTTTATTTTATTATTAAAATCTATTGCTAGAAATTTTTACTATCAAAATGTATTTCTGGGAATTTCTTATTATTCAATTATGTTGCTGGACATATTTTATTATTAAAATCTATTGCTGAATTTTTTTGACTCTTAAAATGTATTACTAGAATTTTTTTTATTTTACTATTAAAATCTATTGCTGGAATTTGTTACTCGTCAAATATACTGCTGGAAATTTTTTAATCTTAAACACTATTGCTGAAAATTTTTAATCTCTTAAAATCTATTGCTAGGAACTTTTTACCATTAAAATTTATCCCTAGAATTTTTTTAATTTTCAAATATATTGCTGGAAATTTTTATTTTATTAAAATCTATTGCTACAATTTTTTATTATTAAAATGTATTGTTAGGGATTTTTTTTTATTATTCAATTGTGTTGATGGACATATTTTATTATTAAAATCTATTGCTGAATTTTTTTTTACTATTAAAATCTACTGCTGGAAATATGTTTTTACTATTAAAATATTCTATTGTTAGAATTGCATTTTATTAAAATCTATCGCTGGAAAATTTTTATTAGTAAAATCTATTGCTGAAAATCTTGCTACAAAAATGTATTTTTTACTTTCATGGTATTTTGTCCTTAGTTTGGGGGTTCACTATTTGCACATCGTGGGTACCCTAGCAGGTGCCACCGGATCAGGATGGACCTGGGAACAACAGCAATTATGAGGTAGTTTTACACTCCACAAAAGCTGCTGATCATCTGCCGGATGTAGTTTATCGTCATTCCCAGGACAATAGAAAGAATGAGAAGGAATCGAAGAAAAGAAGAAGAAAAATGTGTAAGGGGAAAATGCAAAAAATCGATGGAGAAGTTGATAAAAAGATTGGTTGTTAGTTGTTTTTGTTTAGCGGCATATCAACAGCTCTATTGGATATTTAATGGTGAAATCTAAATGTGAAAAAATTGAATATTATAATTAATTCAATAGAATGGAATCATTTCATGATTAAATTTGAAGTAATTAGCTGCATTTTATTTTTTACCAAACAATTATACAAAATCAAACAACGAGTGAAAAATTGTTTCTCCTCACAAGAAATAAGATTAACCATAACATTTTTTGTATTGTTGGTCATTTTATTATAAAAATGTATTGTTGGTCATTTTACTATAAAAATGGATTAATGGTCATTTTGCAATAAAATGTATTGCTTACCATATTCCTCTAAAAAGTATTGTTCTTCATATTACTATAAAAATGTATTCTTGGTCATTTTCCTATAAAAATTTATTTGTGGTCATTTTGTTATAAAGAGGTTTTTTGGTCATTTTGCTATAAAACTATATCGTTGGTCTATTTCCTCTAAAATGTATTCTTGGTCATTTTGGTATAAAAATGTAATGTTGTTTATTTTATTATAAAAATGTATTGTTGGTCATTTTGCTATAAAAATGAATTGTTAATTTTACTATAAAAATGTATTATTGGTCATTTTCCTATAAAAATGCATTGTTGGTCATTTTACTATAAAAATGTATTGCGGGACATTTTATTATCAAGATGTATTGTTGGCTATTTTGCTATAGAGGTTTTTTGGTCATTTTGCTATAAAACTATATTGTTGGTTACTTTCGTCTAAAATGTATTGTTGTTCATTTTATTATAAAAATGTATTGTTGGTCATTTTGGTAAAAACATATATTGTGGGTCATTTTAGTATAAAAATGTATTGTTCATTTTATTATAAAAATGTATTGTTGGTCATTTTGGTATAAAAACTTATTGTATTTCATTTTATTATAAAATTGTATTGTTAATCATTTTGGTATAAAATGTATTGTTGGTCATTTTGGTATAAAATGTATTGTTGTTTATTTTGGTATAAAAATGTATTGTTGTTTATTTTATTATAAAATATATTGTTGGTCATTTTATTATAAAATTTATTGTTAGTCATTTTGGTATAAATATGTATTCTTGGTCATTTTAATATAAAATGTATTGTTGTTCACTTTGGTATAAAAATGTATTATTGGTCATTGTGGTATAAAAATGTATTGTTCATTTCATTATAAAAGTCTACTGTTGTTCATTTTACTATAAACATGTATTGCTGGTCGTTCTTTATGAAAATATATTACTGGTTATTTTCTTTATAAAAATGTATTGCAGTTAATTTCATAAGAAAATGTATTACTGGTACTTTGACTGAAAAAATATATCTTTTACCTTCGTAATGTTTTTATTTTTGTTTGGGGTTTCACTATTTGCCCCTAGCTGGGAGCTTAACAGGTGCTACCCCCTCGGCTCGTGGGGTATGGGAACAACAGCAATTATGAGGTGGTTCCATGCTCCTGAAAACCTGTCGATCAGAGGCCTTGTTGCCGGATGTAGTTTATTGTCATACACAGGACTACTCACTTAAAGGGCGGCATCCCTTTGTAGATTTCAGTTGGTGTATTCTACAGCCCCAGATGAGAGTGAAGGGATAAAAAGAAGGAAGAGGAGTAAATTAAAATGAGTTGCAAAATAGAAGATAAGAAAGAGAGGAGGAGGAGAGGAAATAACAAATAGGAAATGAAATGAAAGAGTAAAAAAGAGAGATGATGAAGAGAGGAGAGCGGAACATGAAAGATAGAAGAGGAGGAGTTGAAAAAGAAGATAAAATAAGAGAGAGGATGAGAAGGTAAAAGTAGAATATAGCGAAAGATGGAAGAGAGAAGAAAACGAGGTGAAAAAAAATAGGAGAGATGAAAACCGAGTGCAGGGAATGAAAGAAGTCTAGAAAGAAAGAAAAAATAAAAAAGAAAGACGAGTAAGAGATGAAAATGAATAGGAGGGAGACTACAGAAAAAAAAAATTGACAAAAACAAAATGGCGAATTATAAAAAACAGATTAAAACAACAAACAAGCAACGATAAAAATATAAGAAAATAATAAACTGGTTGAAGTGGATGAAGATGGTTGATTTATGGCGTCAAATTGAATGGAAAGAATAAAAAGATAGATAAAGGAAGCTCATTAAGTCTTTGTATGAAGTTTGTAACAATAGAATCAGACAGCCGACTGGTAGACCGGAAGTGCACCTTCATCGCCTATCCTCTTGTCTTGTGATGCCTGATATCATTGCTGATAAACACACACTCGGTAAACACAACAAGAATGTATTGGAGTTTATTTGCTCATTCATGTGGAACAAACTTAAAGAACTTGGCTGAAGTCTAAACGTGGAATGTTCGTGGACACATCATTGAATTGCAATTCGGTTGAACTGTTCTATAGTTCTCATTACTTATATATAGGGTATGTTTATCGGATGCTTATCTTCTGTAAATAGGGGAATCTTGTGATAGAGAGAGAAAGAGAGAGATTATATGATAAATACATTTAGAGAGGTTATATGATAAATACATTAATATTAAACATTGATAAATAAAATACGTATCAGTCTATCAGATAACGCGTGTGTCTACATTTTATCTGTAAATTTTTACATATTTTTAAGCATATGAAAATTGGAGATCGATCTAAAATCATCTGAGCATCTGAATTATCTCCAGCACCAGTGTTCTTGAACAGTATGATAAAATTAATTTGCAAATTGGTAGATGCTACATTGATAGTAAAAATCCAAAGAGAAGAGCGTGCTATATAAGGCAGAATACACAAACATATGACTTCTCCAAAGAAAACTGACTATAAAAAGATACTTTACACAAACGGTCCAGGGCCATGACTTTGATTGTAGTCAGGGTGCATGACTGATTCTAGGTAAACGGTCCATGAGAATGATTTTGATTGTAGACAGCTCACAGATACTTGGCTGATCCTAGGCACACGGCCCAGGAGCAAGACTTTAATTGTATACAGAGTGCACAGATACTTGACTAATCATGGGCAAACGACCCATAACCATGACTTTGATTGTAATGAGAGGGGACAGATACTTGTCTGTTAGTAGGTAAACGGCCCATGACTATGACTTTAATGGCAGCCATATGCACAGATACTTGACTTATCCTAGGCACACGGCCCAGTAGCATAACTTTGATTGTTGTCGAGGCGCACAGATACTTGACTGCTCCTAGGTAAATTATCCAGGAGCAAGACTTTAAATTGTAATATCCTAATCCAACTACCCAGGAGCATGACATTGATTGTAATCAAAACGCACAGATACTTTATTGATAACTGGCAAATGTCTCAGGACAATTTAATTATTGGCAGAGTGCACAGATACTTGACTGATCCTAGGCAAACGGCATAAGAGTAAGACTTTCATTGCAGTATGAGCACACAGATACTTGACTGATCCTAGGAAAATTGCCAAGGAGCAAGACTTTAAATTGTAGTCAAAGCGCACATATACTTGACTTATCCTAAGCCATTGGCCCAGGAGCAAGACTTTGATTGTAATCAGAAAGCAACAAATACTTAATTGATTCTAGGCAAACGTATCAGGAGAAACTAATTTCATTATTGGCATAATGGACAGATACTACGTTGATGACTAATATTTTCCTCAAATTTAAATAAGCTTATTAAATTTGCCCTTCATCCCTTCCATACATTTGCTGACACGCTGCGAAGATAGAGACAATCAATTTTAATGAAAGTAAGGTCTGTTTTAGTTCCGCATCAGGGAAGAAATTAATTCTCGTTCACCTCACTAGCTCGGATTTTTCCTCTAACTGAAGAGAGGTACAAATGTACTTTGGGTCAATATCGAAATTTCTTTTTTAAAAAATCTATAAGAAAAAAAAAATTTGACAAATTAAAATAGAAAAAACGGAAATAATTCGTCAAAATAATTAACCAAAAATGTTATATATATTTAACAAAAAGTCTTTACTATATACATACATACATATATATATATATATATATATATATATATATATATATATATATATATATATATATCTGTCTGGTAGCAAATGCTGCTGGTGGCGCCAGGGTGGCGGTTCCGCCATACCCACCGAAACCGTGATATCACCCCTAGTCGGCGGCTGTTGAAGACAGGGTATCGCACGTGCTAACACAGTTGTATGTTAATATATATATATATATATATATATATATATATATATATATATATATATATAAATAAAAACAAACAAAATAGCGGTATGTCAATAAACACAAAAAATCTAAAAGTTTGTTAATATACACCGGAAGAAAAGAAGAAGAAAGCCTTTTAAGACAGCCGTTTCGAAACAACAGTCAATTTTTTTCAACCGAGACAAAACAAATGGAAATTCTCTAAGATGAAGTTTGCTTTAAAAGAAATATAAGGTCTGGTGCCCCTTCTGTCTGCCTCGGGATTCTTGATAGGCTCCAGAGGCGGATATGCAATGTGGTTGGCCCTGCCCTGGCGTCTCGTCTACAGTCACTTTCTCACAGACGACGCGCCGTCGCCTCCCTCTGTCTGTTCTACAAATACTTCGATGGAAATTGCTCCAGGAGCTGCATTCGCTGGTTCCCCATACGTCACGAGTTCCAGCGCCTCACGAGGCTGGCCTGCTCTCCCCGTTCACTGTCACTCCTAAATATAGCCGTCTCTTCTACTCTAATAGCTTCATGTCTCGCACCTCTCGCCTGTGGAACTCCCTTCCCGTTTCCTGTTTCCCTGTGAGCTATAATCTCCAGCTATTTAAGTGTAATGTCAATCGACATCTCCAGTTGCCTTGATCTATCCACTACCCTCATCCTTTCTTCTATCACTCCTATCTGATCTTGCTCTAAATTTTCTGTAACCCCTTGCGTCCTAGTGGCTTCCCGCCTTGCTTGGTGTGAAATGCTTAAAAAAAATGATTGGAAAATCGTCACAGATCTTCCTGGAAGGAAATTTCATGAAAGATTGCCTTTTAATTTAAAAGAAATTTAATTTAAGGGCTTATATTAAGTAAAATAAAACAATAATTAAAGCAATATGTATTGAGAAATATGTTAAAGATTCGTTGAATAATTTTAATTCGTAAATCGATAATCCAATTAACCTAAATCTGTAATATTAAATCGCATGATAAACTGCGGCGACCTAATTATGTTAACCTTTGACAGTGAAAAATTTCTTTGTCCAACAGCTTTCATCTGTTGTAATTCCCGTCGGAATAAATCGAGGCATTACTTCCGCTGCGTCCTCTCGTATTATATATATATATATATATATATATATATATATATATATATATATATATATATATCAAACGAGGAGACAAACTTCATAGAATCAAACAAACACTTCTAACAAAAATTATACAAAATTCATAATCCTTGCTTTCAACACTTCAACTAAACTACCAATAATTTAGTCATCCCTAATACGAGGCTTGTTACAACCACCTCCAAAACTATTGGAGATATAAAATAAAATATAAAACAATTGAAAATTCAAATTCGGAGTTTATCAAATGTCTACAGTGCATAACATTTACATTGGGGAGACGTCACGTTATTTAAAAACCCACATCCAGGAAAACAAAAGAGATTTGTGTTTAGATAAACATTCAAATTCTCTCGTATCCCATTGCAACAACGTAGGACATAACTTTAATTTCACCGATGCCAGCATTATCAGAAAAAGAATGTCTTTAAAGAGAAAATATTATGAAAATATATTTATAGCAATATTACTAATTATTAACACACGTTTCAAAGACTATATTACGTCACGATTTTTCTGCAGATCCATTATTCATGAATCTAACTTATCTCTTCCGAATACATGAATATCAATATATACAAGGGTCATTCAATAAATAAGGTTAATTTTTCGGTATAAGGACTTCTAATACAGGTAGAAGCTTTTTTTTTTTTTTTTTTTTTTACTTTTTCACATGGATTTAATTTCTTTTTCAGATTAAAAAACAAAAAATAAAAAACAAACTTTGAGAGTTTTGGCGATTAACAAAGATGGCCGACCAAGATGCATGCTCCAGGATTAAACAGCGGTCAGTTATGAAGTTTTTGGTTGCTGAAGGGTGCAAACCAGTTGAAATTCATAGGAGAATGTCAATGGTGTATGGTGCCACATGTTTCAGCCCCCCCCCCCAATGTCTAGAAGTGGGCTAAATTGTTTAAAGAAGGACGGAGCCGTGTTGAGGATGACGCCAGGCCTGGGAAGCCTACAGAAGTGAGGTCTCCTGAGGTGATCGAATCAGTCAATGACCTCATTCAGTCTGACAGAAGAACTACTGTGAACTGCTGAGGCAGGTCAAGAAAGACATAAAGAACAAACACAGGGGTCATCAGTCAGAAGGAGTCATCTTGCATCATGACAACGCAAGGCCTCACACAGCAGCCCAAACAGTGCAGACCATCAACAAGCTGGGCTGGGAACTGCTCCCTCATCCCCCTTACAGCCCAGACCTTGCCCCTTCAGACTTTCACCTGTTTGGTCCCTTCAAAGCGTTCACGAGAGGAACGAAGTTTAAAAGTGACGATGAAGTCAAAAGTGTTGTGAGCGACTGGCTGAGACATCAGTCCAAAGATTTTTACGCTGAGGGAATACGGAAGCTTGTGCACAGATGGGAAAAGTGAGTGACAGTGCTGGGAGACTACGTTGAAAAAAAAAAGTAAGCTTCTATCTGTATTAGAAGTCCTTATACCGAAAAATTCACCTTATTTATTGAATGACCCTCGTATGCAAAATACGCACGAGATATACTTTAATGAATTTTTTTTCAAAACATTCTGCAGTGTCTCACTAACCTTTACACACATTAACATCTCTCTCTCTCTCTCTATATATATATATATATATATATATATATATAACATAGTTATAAAAATATAGTTTTAAAGTATGTTATATTTATGGTGCTCAGTGCCAGGGATAGAGTATATGTAAATATAAAATTGGACAATGAAGTGAATATCCAGAAGCGACAGTCTGTTTCTTGTTTGAATGCTGTTTGTATGTTGTGTTTTAGCTCAGCTATTTATATATGCTGGTCAATGTATTATGTGCCGTAAGGTCTCTTGTATTATCCTAACGTTCATTGGATTGGCGGTTAACGTTTATGTTTCAAATTATTCTAGAGGTTATTGATTAGAAATAATAGTGGAGCAGAATGCAGTTATTTGTAGC